CCCCCTCCCCCGCACACCCACCCACACACACACACACCCACACTCACACACACCCACACACACTTACACCCACACACATACAACCACCAAAACAATAACAGAAAAGTAAACAATAATTCGCACTCAAAATCATTGAAACTAGAACACAACATGAACAATAGAAATGTTGACACGAACACCCTCGAAAAAGAAACAGTTTAGTACGTCGTGTGCTTCGTCGACGACACTCGCCAATTAATAAAGGTCGGTAAAGCCATGTAAGGTCATGTCCTCAAAGCTGAAACCTAAGAAGTGGCAACTCAATAAGCAAAATAAAAACATTGACCTCCATACCTCACAAGGTTCATGATTGTGACCATGAAACCTGTTTATAGTCGTCATTAAATTGCTTCTAACGAAACCTTGTGTTGTAAGCCGCCATTTATCAATGAAATCTAGTTATTCAGAACAAATCCTTGAATTATGACAATATCAATTATATATTACTCCTTGTTGGGGAATTCAACTTTCATAAAATGCAAAGTTACAGTCGGTTTATGACTTTGCGTACGAACAAGCTTAACGAGTTGATGTTTTGTCATATTATCAGTAATTTAACGAAATCCCAACGCTAGTTTCAAAAGGTCACAAGAAACATTTTTAGCAGAATTCTCTTGCTATTTTTTGATAATATTCGTAATACAGTGACACTTCTTAAAAAGGTTTTAATCATAACACATGGCTTAGATATTGTTAATCATAGCACCTGGCTCAAATAATGTTAATCAGCTTATTTTCGCAAAATATAATTTACTTGAGTATGCCTCAATTAAAAACCTCACTTATTGCTTCACTATTGACATCCTCGATATCCAGGGGTTACGCTCACTTTCGGTCTCTGACCCCTGGAATATGTAATAGCAAAATCGGAGGCTCAATGTGTAGCACCTTGTGGATAAGACGAGAAGACTAGTTTGGTCCTTTGATGTACATCAAAAGAATAGCGCGGTCATGTAACGGTAAAAATTGACAGGCTTTGAAGCCGGGCATCGCTCCTTTGTAATCTTCAAAGGATAAGTATTAGCCTAGTGATTGGTCAGGGTTTTTTTACCTGACACAAATCAAAAATTTGGCCGCATGCCGTCAATTTTGCTATGACATATTCCAGGGGTGTAGAGAGCGAAAGTGAACGTTACCCTTGGATATCGAGGATGCACTTTTGACATCTTCTTTTATAAGTGAAATAAGTCATCTCGCTAAAACCGTTGCGCAATTTATCTATTTCAACATCCTGCGTTCGAAGGAAGAGTCTCTGTTGCCATGATCAAGCTTCTCCTAGTTCATCATTATAAGTGCCTGATAGTAGAATTTCAGCACAAAGTAATATATAATGATCTGCACTCTTAGACAGTAAATACACTGTAACGTATAGCTGTTCGAGAAAATGAGAAATGCAGCAAAGAAAAACACTATAACATATATTGATTTTAAGACAAAGAGAAATAGAACGTGTCATGTAAGAGATAAAGAAGATTGGAAAACAGCTATTTCAAAAAATGAATGCTTCCAAAACAATAATATTGATATGACATATTATTGGTTTTGGCGACAAGATGGAAATCTATTCCAGCAAAAATATATATGACACGTGCATCTTTCACTGTTAACCGTCAAAACGGGAAAAGTTAATTTGTGTCACTGTATTGGAAAATTACATAGTGTACTTTTACTACAATCAAATACTAAAATAATCATTGCAAATTTGTCCCTAACAAATCGACATATCTGTTAAACGATCTGAGAATTTACCAGACAATAACTATATGTTACTGTTGCGGGAGCAAGGATTATAAAACGCATTACAAGAATATCAAAAGCAGAGTCAATTGTCTTCATGAGAACAGACGCCGAATGCCTTGACACTTTTTAGAGCCAAATAAGCGTTGGCTGATATAGGCTTAATGGTAATGTTTGATGGCTTGAGCAATCACAGTATACCAACATCATATTAGTATGTCTTCATGATTTTTAGAGAAAATGTTTTCTGATCCGTTTCTCAGACATGACTATTCTTAAGTTCCCGCACGCACAGGCAATAGCTGTATTTCTACCAGTTTAACTCGTTTTCGATGGTTTTGCTTCTCGGTCAATGAAAATCGAAGCACAAAGTAATCATATTTAATCTATTTTGTCGATGATTCATTACGATTCCGAATGCAGAGCAGATTTTATCAATTATTAAATAAGATAAACGGCCCCAGTTTCATATGTATTTCTTAATCCAAGTTTTTTTTCTGATAAAGAAGTTTTGTTTGAGATGTTGTGTCGAGCGTTCGAGAAGTTGTGATAAGTGCGCGAGGTAATGAATGAAGGAAATTATATTGTACTAGTCCTAAATGTACCAACCTACTTTTGGTACCTGCTTTCTTATCTATTTCTTCTTCCAGTATTCTTGGTGCCCCAAGGAGGTTTGGGAACATTGTAAAGGTATTTACCTGCTGTATCCCACGCTGGTGGAGCGTCCTGATGTTTGTAACATAATCGTTCTTATGGCGTTGCACAATATTCATATTCAGTGGCAGTTTCGCCCGTTGGCACCTTCGTCATATGATCTTAGCGTCGTAGAAACACAAAAAAAACCGATGGCTATAATTTAATTGACCTTTTAGGGACGCTGGTCTCAGGACCTTGACATTTCTTTCATCAGTAGCTACTACCCATTTTCTACACCAACTAAATATAGATTGTGTTAATCATCACTAGCAGCTTTGTTCCGTTTTAAAGCAAGATTTCAACTGAGCGTCAAAGTGCGTACTTTAGCATGATGCCTGCCTTAACACATAATAAGTTAACCTTCCACTAAACTGTCTTCGTTTGTAACACTAATGTCCCACATTTGCTAGGCTTTGATTCCCCCCCGTATTAAATGTAAAAATCGTGAGACGGTGTCGCTTGATATGGTCAATTAATCCTCCTGGAGTGCCCGGTCACATTCTAACATAATCATCTGTACGTTAAACGTTGTTGGGAATGGCAGTTATTTTGAAAATTACCAAGCGTAAAGCCTGGTGTTTTGCTGACTATGGCAAAACTTGTAAATGCCATCGGTCATAATTAGCTGAAAAGTTAGCATGTGGTATTAGGGTTGCGTTGGATTACTTAAATGTCATGTTTTAACCGTCCTTAATGTTGATCCAAAATTAACGCCAAGTGTCTAACAAAGCAAAAGAATATCGAAATGTCAAAATACCAGAAAAGGTAAAAATATGAACAAAGACAAATTTTACATGAGATCCTTGTATAAGTACACAGAAAGTAAGACCAGGTGTCAAAGAAGCATCATGTCCTACTAGTAAAGCCGGGGAAGTGACAGTGACACAGCAAGGAACACTGGTAAACCTAATCAAAACATCGACCTTCATATCACACAAAGAATGACATTTTCCCAAATTAGATCATGATGGAGGTACTTTTCTATAGCCTAAATCAAAAAGTATCTTTAAAACCCTTTATTTTTGTCGTCAGCAGTCGATAGGTGTTGCAAAAATCGTGGTATTTGGAACAATCTATTAAATATCGACTCGACTGCGACATGGTAAAATATGTAGGCAAGGGAAGCTATAATGTTACCATCAAGAAAGGGAAAATCCACGATAGGAAAATTGAAATGGCCCCATCCATCGTACAGTTTAGTAGCAAGTTGTCCTGTTGGTCATGAACGAGTCTGTACTGAACCTGATATCAAACTGTGGAAATCGACATGGTCAATACATATCTCACAGCCAAATAAAGCACATCGTCAATATATCTGAGTGTAAAATTGAAGGATATGGCGATATGTTTTGTCACCAGTCATGATAAGGTCTTTGTAGATTTCAGCCTCATATAAAACAAAAAACAAGTCGGACAGAGGAAGGGCACACTTTTGCCCCATAAGAACACCTACAGTCTGCTGGGAAATTTTGTCACCGAACTAAACAAAGATATTTCCAGCCAGTCACTATCATTATTATTTGATCCTCAGAATATTTTGTTTAAGCTTTTGTTGTGTATTTCACACACACAAAAATACATATATACTTCATATGTTTACAATCATGTATTGAAATCGCCGTTAGCCTTTCTTGGAAAATTATTTTGATTCCGTAGATATTAATGTATGTGTTAGTTCGCGAGAAAACACATTCGCTTTTTAACATATTTGACTAATTTACTGTAAATATTACAAAATCTTCCACTCAAACTCAAATTCACGTGTTTGTGATACAGTTATCTGGCATTACGTGAATAATAAAGTACACACGAAATTGAAGTGATTTATTATATAAACTTTAACACGCAAAACCATTCTAAGCACGCTCTGCTAAGAGTCTAACACTATTTCGAAAAATATAATTGGATGTTGACGTCGCTTTAAGGCATTGCTCTGTGTGATAACGATGTAAGATCTGACAATTAATGTTTCTATGCATTGGAAATATTCATAATTATCCCCCAAGTTGCATGAAAGACACCACTGTTTTCGTATAATGCGTTGTTTCACTTTACATGCACGTTGGGATCAACCATTAGATCATTTTCATTTCCAGCGACCTTATATATATCCGCATCCTCGATATCCAGGGGTTACGTTCACTTTCGCTCTCTACACTCCTTGAATATGTCATAGCAAAATCGAAGGCTGGGACCAATCAAACAGCTATCTTCGTGCCTTCAAGTTTGCTATGAAAACAGAGATATGGGAAAGTTCGTACAAATGAAGTTGCTATGTGAGAGCTGTTTGTGCCAAATATAAAGAGCTAAGTTACCTCGTTAATGCTGTAAACCGATGTTAGTGTCGATCAGAATTGTTGCATCTTTGAAAATGTTCCGCTCTTGATACATGTATCTTCTCTGCATCCCTGGAACATGTCATGACAAAAATCGAAGGCATGCCGTTTGCTACTTGATTGGTTTCATTTTATTTTTAAAACCTGACCAATTGCTAGGTTGCTGCATGTCCTTTGAAGATTAAAGAGAAGCGACATTCGACTTGAAACACGGTCAATTTACCATTTGCTGCTGTGTAACTCTTTTGATGTACACCAAAGGATCAAATTAGTCTACTGGTCTGGTAACATCTGCAAACATTATTTTTTTCGCAAACAAAAGGTTTGTTACGTAATATTCCGAGAGAAGATGTTCATATCGAGAATGGAATCCTTTAATTTTCGAAATGTATCGTTGATGATTTTAAGTAATGCCTTCGCTCACACTCCCTAACGTGGTAAAGACAAGCCTGACATAAGTCCTGTCTGTCAGTTATCACATTAGGGAAAGTTACATGGAGCTGATAACTGCAGTATAGACTTATCCTTCTTCAGATATTTTTTAATGTTATATACGCTCCCTTACTGTCCTTGAATCCCATTTAAGAAGGAGAAGCACAGTAATAGTATCCACCTGTGTTAGTCGTAACGTCACAACAATTTAGCCCTAATATACCAATGATATAAATCTAAGATGTCTTTAAATTCACCAACCGAAGGCTGTCATCTCATCTCACAAGGCATATTGCGACAGTTTACTGATATTTTATAGAAATACCGGGACTATCATTTGTGAAAGTAATCTTACTAGTACCTCCGTCTTGAGGAAAGCTGACGTTAAGCAAATAGTCGTATGTTCCTTTTGTGCTAGCATCGTCGTCTTGTGGAAAGCATTTTATGAGCATATGGTCATGATATTTTGTTCCTTTTGTGTGCGTGTACTATTACATGTAACCATTGGTAATCGAATAGTTCTTTGTTCTGTAACACATGCACAAAATAATTTGATACAAACTTCTAACAGCTCTCAACCCAATACAGGTAACATATATAACACAGTGATAAAACATCGATACAACGACTTGTTACATTTGGTCTGGAATATGGAATCGGTTGGTGTTTAGTACATATAGCTCTGCACAGAGTATAATATAACAATTCTGGCATATCAGTGCTGAGAAAGCATGACCGGACTCTAACAAACAACTGTCAGTGGTAGGCAGTCTAACCACTTAGAGGAAGCTAACTTTGTTTTGATGTGTTGTTTGACCTTGTTATTGTTTTGATATTTTTTTTCATTAATTCAATCAAATAGTATCGGGTCTGTCGAATAATGCAGTAACCAACTAAAATATTTTGTTTTGAAGTCAAAGCGCCTGGTAACTAATTACTGTAATTATGTTTTTCAATCAAGCCACCGGGTAACCAATTGTTTTATTTATGTTTTACAATCAAGCCACCTGGTAACCAACTGTTTTACGCATGTTTTACAATCAAGCCACCTGGTAACCAACTGTTTTATTTATGTTTTACAATCAAGCCACCTGGTAACCAATTGTTTTATTTATCTTTTTACAATCAAGCCACTAGGTTACCAACTGGTTTTTTCTGTTTTATGCTCGAGCCACTGGGTAACCAACTGATCTATTTATGTTTTATGATCAAGCCACTAGGTAACCAACTGTTCTATTGATGTTTTATTATCAAGCCACTAGGTAACCAACTGTTCTATTTATGTTTTATGATCAAGCCTCTAGGTAACTAACTGGTTTGTTCTTGTTATTTTTCAGTCAAACCACCAGGTTACCAAATGTGCCAACCAAGGGGACGTCGTCTTTACAACAAACAAGACAGCTATGACGTATGGTCCTCGGTTCTGTTGTCAAGGGTTTAAATTTAAAGTAACAGCAAATTCAATGGACTCCGCTTTACAGATCACGTGCATAAGGTCATAGACAAGGAATAACCCTCTCCGTTACACCTCGCCAAACACATGCGGACAGGGGGACGGAGGTGGAATAAAACAAGTGGTAATGTTTGAACCATATTTAAAGAAAACTTAATGACGACAAGCATGTTTATGGTAGCAGGTCTAGTTACTCTAACGCTTTATATACCAATCACAAACGACTCCTGAAAAGCATAGTCTAATGGCGATAAAAACTAGTTGATGCAAACATAATGTGTGATGTATCAGCCCTCTGTCCTGGTCTGAAACACGTTAATAAGTCACGCACAAACTATGGTCGTTCTTTGCGTAAAATAAATAGATATGCCCGTGCTGTAGACCAAAGGGAGACTACTCGTCTGCTCTTGTCAATGTTGTTTATGAACAATGGGTGATAACTCGAATCAGTGGTATTCTGAGTATTGGCACCTTGCTCCCGAAATCGTTAGCAGGAATATCAAAAACTTGAGCAAATACTCGAAGCAGATAAGACAAAATAGCAATTGTAATTCTGTTAAGGAACATATACTATCTTTCACTTAATGTGTGACTATTGTCTGGCACGAAGTTTGCTTACCAACCTTTAATCACGAGGAATTATATTTATACATGCAAGGAAAACTTATATTAGAAATCCAAACCAGGACAAGTTATCCACGTGGATGGCATGTGGATACAGCCGATAACGTCGGTAGCTGACATTGGGCAGTTCAGGAGCTGAAATCTACTGTCTAACCAGTAGTTCTGACAAGGAAATTAAATTGGATATTTCACGAATGGGTAATATTTCGTGTAATAGAATACCTTCTGAAATATTAGCATTTTAATCATAATCTAAGTTTGATACAATAATCCGTTGAAAAGAATGATGTGAACTAAGTTTACCGAGTCGCTTGGTTCAACCGTCCTAGCGCATTGACAAAACCGAAGTTATCATCTTCTTGAATTATTCGTCATGAGCAATGAATACTGGGTCAAACAACATAAACAGCAACTACATGATACGGTCGTTTGGTCGCTGGAACCACGACAACAATACTTCTATGAAAACATGGTATTTGAAATATCTCACTGATAATACAGCATCATAACGAAGTTTGGTCGCGCGCATATGAGCGATTTAGAGTCAGATTGTTGATGAACATGGCGACAAAACAAGTTGATGACGATATAGCCATACCTCCTTGTTGTTTGTCGTCTCCTAACAATGTTACCTTGTTTCTACCAAGGACTCTCGTCACTCTCGGAAGGAAATGCACTAAATCATCTGCCATGAATCTTGGTTGGACTAATATATATGTGTATGTATACCGTATGTTTATCTAAATATGACAAGAAGTAAAAGAGGATAGAAAGAATGATCACAAAAGAAAAAACAGGTACAGTGTCATTACAGTCGCAAGGCTAAAGGAGAACAATGAACTTGAACTTGAAGAGGATGCATTCATGGAGGGGAAAATGCCATTGAAAAGAATTATTTACGCTCCTAAGTGAAACCTTTCTGTCGCACTTGAAGATCTTGTCTTAACTGTTGAAACCTGAACTCATTGTGTACTCAGATATTTGATTCTTTGACATAATGACACAAATGGTGCATTCTTATGTACATATCAGCATGGACAAGCGATTCACATGTATACGACTTTATGACAATCTTTAAAGAACTATGTACGCTCCTTATTCTCAAGAAACTGTGTGACTGAATATGTGTGGTGCATCAGGTACACGTTGTTTTCTGTATGAGGTGTATGTATATGTGGAATCGTATGTAAGTATGTCTACATGAAATTTAGACATATGTCCCTTTTATAATTACATTTTTGTAGATACACATATGTCTATCTAAAGGTTCGGGTTAGATCTGTGTTTTGTATGTCTGTAGCAGACTATGAAAGTCCGTTAATGTCAACAACGAGATAAACCGACATGGTTACATGAAACCTTGTAAAGGTCTTCTTTAACGAGTTCGCACCAGCTTGTTACGAATTTATAACCGTTTGCGTCATTAATTTAACAACCGTTCGTATTTAACACGTGGAAGTAAAGGGTTAAATGCGAACGTGTTAGTTTAATGGCTTTTTACATTATCGGTCTTTCATTGAAGACCTGTGTGGTTCTGTTGGAGGTGGATATGTCTGTTATGTGTGTTAGTAGACAGGTGTCACTGGTATGAGATGTATGTGTACCATATGTATAATGGCATGTGTGTGTGTGGAAGAGGTGTTTATGTGTATGGTTACATACGTGTAACTCGACATGTCTGTAGCCTCTTTATAGGGAGTCGTGTATATCCCTCTTAAGTGGTAAATTGATCGATCTCTGAATAGTAAAGTATATGACTTTGTCATATGTATATATGTAAGACAGATATATCCCATCCGAAGGTACAGAGTTTACAGAAAAATTGACTTGTCGAGTTTTTTTGGGGTTTTTTTCCATCGTGATTTAACTTAAATGACTTTCTATCTTGGAAAGACGTTTTTCTTACAAACTTCACAAGTGCATTCCCACAATTGCAAGGAAAAAGACAAACCTGTCTGTAACTACATGGGAAAGACATTTGACTTCTGCTATTATTCTGAATACTGCGCCATCACTTAATGCAGCGTTACCAGGGTCACGTCATCAATTTTGTCACACATCTAATGGCGCTATGTATTTGGTTCAGTGTTAAAACTTATATTTATGACATTCCGGGAAAAAAAATCAGTCACTCCTGTGTGATGCGTACAGAAATATTGTATAACCCTCAGGAAAAGATTTCTGAAGTTAAGCTATCGGCAAACCCTCGTGCTTAAAACTTCAAACATCTTACCCTCAAGTTTTCAAAGAAAGTAAAGACAGGTTTATCTTTTCCTTAGCAAGAATGCGAATGCACATGAGAAGTGTGACAGAAAACGACTGTCTCACACTCATGGTTTCGATTTAAGGGTCGTATTGTACATGTTTATATCCATGTAATGCAGTAGTCATGTGTGTGTGTCTATATTGGGGAAGGTATGAGTTTCTCTAATTTGACGTATAGTTTGACGTAGTTATGTCATATGTTTGTAAGTATGTTGTAGGCATACATGTTCTTTTCGTTTTGCGTACAACATACTGACATATCTTTGCATGGATGCGAGCGTGTTCCTCTCTTTAATGGGTAGACCTATTCATGTTTACACAAAAACTTACTTTTTTGATGACATGCGAGAAAAATATATGTGTATGATGGTGTGCTAAATTTTATATTTGTATACTACAAATGAATGGTTGTGTATTTATCGACGTCAATAAACATATATCTATGTCAATGTCAAGATATAATAATTAGTATGAACCCAATTGATTCACGCCATCTAACATCGTACATTATGTGATTCTGGGTTCGGCAAAATTCGTAAAGCATCCGGTCCACAAGAAATAACATAGTCACCAAGCAAGAAGTGAAAACGAGAATCTATATGCGAAAGAAAAAAAAATGTTGTTTAAATGGAAAATTCTTTGATTTGATTTCATCGCATATCATGTTCTAGCTTTAATTGCCCCTGTGGTGAGTCTGTGTTGACTTAGTGTGTCCGTGTTTCCCAAAGGTAATACCAGTTTTCTCCCTATTCTACTCTGTTTACGTAGCGTTACAACTATATAGTGAGCCCAGCGTGTCCGCAGTCTACCATAAGTCCTATAGTAAGTCCAATATGTCCCTTGGTGTGACTGAGAACATCATAAAATGTCCAAGGCACAATCTAGTGGTCTCATAGAAAGCCCTTTAGCAAATTAACCCATGATTCCAATATATACCCCAGCCGTCCCAAAGTAGCGAGGTGTAGTGATCCCATAGTATGCCCATCGACATATTTTTCCCATAGAGAAACAAAAAAATCCTGACTAACGAGGTATTCTGATATCGTTTGCATCCCTTTAACATTCCATAGATACCATGTTCATTTACTATTCAAATGATCAATATGTTCCATTGCAAGCAATGGTACCGGGGTTTCTTTATTCCAAATTTATGTTTGTTTATCTTTTTATTTATTTATTTATTTTCGGATGGGGAAGGGGGGCATATGATGCCCTTCAGCAAAATTTTATATAACCAATGTATAGTTAACAAAGTAGTCATCCTCGATATCCATGGTTTACGCTCACGTTTGCTCTCTACACCCCTGGCATACAGTATGTCATGGCAAAATTGAAGGCTCGGTGTGCGCCACCTTGTTGATGAGACAAGAAGACTAGTTCGATCCTTTGATGTACATCAAAAGAATCTCGCGATCACGTACCGGTAAAATTGACAGGCTTTGAAGTCGAGCGTCTCTCCTTTGTAATTTGCAAAGGACAGGTATCAGCCTAGCGATTGGTAAGTTTTTTTTACCTAGGACCAATCAAACAGCTATCTTCGTGTCTTCAATTTCGCCATGACATATTCCAGAGGTGTAGAGAGCGAAACTAAGCGTAACCCCTGGATATCGAGGATGCAAAGTAGTCAGCACAAGGTTCCTTAAGTTAAATAAATTCATTAACGACATTGGAATACCTTACTTAAGTTAAGGAAATGAAACGCATGTGAATTTGGGTCCTGCATTGCTTATTAAGTGTTGTACATATCTTGATACTTTAAGTCATTAAACCGGAAGTATCATCGTTACCGTAGATGTCATTAGCGTCAGTTTTTCACATTGTCATGCAAATGACTTCTATCAGCGAGCCGTCTCAAATTGAAAAATAAAACTCTTCACTTTATCTATGATAATGAGTCATGTGTTCAAGAAAAAATAAATATTTTTGTGAATTATTGCTTTGTTTTTTGTATTGGTCGTAATACTAAATAAAATGTATTTATATGGGTTTAAAAAGAGAAAATATGAAACGATAATTTAATCTTGCTTGTAACAAACATTTTCATTGGCTTACTTTTTTATGGTATCAGCCCATAACGTAAAAAAAATGACGTCGCCGTTTGTAACGTCGCTTTTGATTGGCTGATACAGCAGCGCAATAATTTCTAAGAGAAAAAAGTCCATCAATAAAAGTGGATTTCCACAGGGATAGTAGATTAAATTATAAGGATTAACTTGAATATATGTTTCATGTTATAGAGCTATAACACGAAAAACTGGAGTGTACTCTCATCATAAACCGCTTCGCGGTTTTTTTAGAGTACACTCCGTTTTTTTGTGTTATAGCTCCATAACAAGAAAAAATATATTAAAGTTAATCCTTAATTATCACCTGGCCAAACCGGGCCTGTCACAACGAACCATTTCAATCTGAAACATGCACTACTTGACCACTACGGCGTTCATCCCGACATCATTCGCTGGATTTCATCATTCCTGCAGGACAGAACCCAACGGGTACTAGTGGAGGGTGAACATACAGCGTCAGCGCAAGTTGAGTCCGGAGTCCCCCAAGGGACAGAACTCGGACCACTCCTCTTCCTCTGCCACATCAATGACCTTCCACTAGCAGTGAAATCCACCGTCAGGTTATTTGCAGACGACTGTCTCCTTTATAGGACGATAGTTCCACCATGTGTTATTGTCACCCATTTGTATATATGTATACTCTACACTGTATTGTTTATGAGAATAAAACAATTGTCATTGTCATTGATAAGAACTGTCCAGGATCACTTAGACTTTCAAGAAGATTTAAAATCATTAGAACGATGGGCATCTGCGTGGGACATGTCCTTTAACACCAGCAAATGTTACATCATGAGGATCCATCCCTCTAAATCTCCATCAGCCTTTCGCTACACTCTCGGTGATACCGTACTAGAAGAGGTAACTGACAACCCATACCTCGGCATCATCTTCAGCAACACCATGAAATGATCATCACAAATCACCAAACTTTCCAACCGTGCCAACTCCACACTTGGATTCCTTCGGAGAAATCTGAAGAAATGTTCGACGGATCTGAAATTGTGTGCGTTCAAGTCCCTAATTCGATCTGTATTGGAGTATAGTTCCACCATCTGGGACCCTTACACGGACAAGGGCATATATACCATAGAGAAAGTCCAAAGGCGTGCAGCAAGATTCATTCTGTCAGATTACCAAAGAGAGAGCAGTGTAACAACCATGCTAAACAGACTAGAACTCGAACCACTGAAAGACAGACGTCGTGACCACAGACTAGTACTGTTGTTTCAGATCATCAATGGGCTTAGTAGCCACACCCGCTGACGACTACATCACAGCCAGCCGTACCAACACACGACGAAACAACAGTCCGAAACTACAACAGGTATCGTGCAACACTGAAAACTAGACAATCCTTCTTCCCACGTACACTAACCGATTAGAACGCTCTAAAAGAATCCTCATCAGTGCAACTACGGTCGACCAATTCCGTAGTAGCCTCAAAAAGTAACTTCTACTCCACTCCTCCTCCCCGGATGTGATATTCAATTCATGAATTTTATCCGGAACCTGACAGATACAGATACAGATGCACGAACATCTTATCAAACATTCGAGTAGCTGTTAATGCAGGTTGTCGCTCGTTCATATTCAATAAAAAAAAGTACGGATAGATGCGGAGTTTCGGTATACAATATGTTTAAGGGACAAACACTTGTATTTAAATTAACTTTTCTAGTTTTCGACACACAATTTTATTGCTTATAATAATAGTATGAAATGTACGAGGACATTGTTTTTATTTGTCTTGTTTAGTTCAACATGGATAGTTTTTACCGAGAAATATCAAACCCGAGTGTGCCGATTATACGCAAATCATACTCCGGGTTTGCTCGCATTGAAGGTACATGTGACACGCCCATCTGTGTAATAACTCAAAATCCCTATTCAAAACTGTTTGTTTTGTCAGAGAGGAAGAAGAATTTTTTTTAAATGTGTCATGAGCAAAATCACAGGGTCACGTTACAAATGTCTGAAATACAAATATGCTATACTGATACGGGTCACAACACACATAAACATACGTGGGTCACGTTACAAATGTCTGAAATACAGATATGCTATGCTGATACGGGTCACAACACACATAAACAAACACGTATGTTTATGTGTGTTGTGACCCGTATCAGTATACATGTAGCATATGTGTATTTCAGACATTTGTAACGTGACCCTGTGAGCAAATAGAGCAATCTAATTAAAATCAGATCTCTCAGTACATAACGTAGTGTAATGAGAGATCTGTTTTTAATTAGATTGCAAATAGAGGTGCTGCAATATCTTTTTTTTAAAAACCCAGAATGGAGCAATGATTGAACCTTGGGGAACTCCATCCCATATCGTACAAATATTAGAATACGAGTTATTTAGAAATGGGGTTTTTTTTTTGTCTGTTACTTAAACAGGTTTTATTCAGGACAAAAAGTCACCTGAAATAACACATGCTTTTAACTTTTCTAATAGGCCTTTATTCCAGACTGTCAAACGCTTTAGAAATGTCACGAATACCATACAAATGAACTTCTAGATCTAGACTAATATTATGAGATACCATAATCAATCAACACACTGTTGAAAGGCAAGACATAAAACCCGACTGATATTGATAAAATCAGAACTAAAAAAATACTGTTGTGCAAGTACATGAAATAATCCTTTCAAGTATTTTACCGGCTTTTGGACAAAAGCTAGAAAATAGGCCGATTAATTAAAGGAGAATGCCTTTCACCCTTCTAAACATGAGGTATGGTCTTTTGTTTGCAGTTTTCCAGATATTAGAAATTCACTACAACCGTGTACAGCGCACCAAGAACTTTATTTTTTGACTCGTGGAATTTTCTGTCATGCGCATACAGGCTGCTAGGAATAGTGCGAGGTAGTAAATGTAGTTATAATTAAATTTTCAAACATTTTTGTCTATTGAAGATAGGACGTTCTGACAATTTTTCTTTAAACAAAGATAATGTGGCTTTAAACTAGTTTTCATAGCTTATGGTATATCATGTTTGTACCGATACTCTGGGGTCATAATTTAATAGCCATTAAATCGAAAAGTTAACTGCATTTTGATAGTGGAAAACAAACTCACGTGCTACAATGATCGCACACATGGGATGATTTAGCACGGCTTTAGGTCATACTCATTTTGTGTACTAACACGTGCTGAGCGATTAGTACATATCAAATGGTTTTACCAGAGACGTATATACTACATTATACTGGCTTTATGTTTCTCTGGTTTTACATAAACTCTGCGGGTACATTTTCCTATAACGTACAGATTACGGAATGCCTCCCTTAGGTGGCCCCTGGGGTTGAGATTTAGTTGTCTATTTCGCTGTCCCTTATAACACTTCCATCCTATTCATAGCCAGCACCTCAGGAGGAATGTCAGCGACTCTCTCGGGGTCAAAGGTGATCGAACTGTATAATTCAAGCGTCATGCTGGATATACGATTATGGGAAGCTGCCTTACATATGTGTGAACCCGTCTCTGACACGCACCGAGCAAGTAAGTATGCACTTTAATGTATATTTGTAATGTGTTTTTCTCGAGCTGGTGAGTCTGTGATGTATTCTCTATTTGTAATTAAGTTATCAGAAATGTATATGTTAGCTTCTTAGTCAGATCTTGTAAGATGTGATATTATGTTACCTTTCTTGGTTAAAATTCTTCTACCTGTACAATGACAATTGTTTTATTCTCATAAACAATACAGTGTAGAGAATACATATATACAAATGGGTGGCAATAATACATGGTCGTTCAGAGGCTTTGCTTTGACCAGGACCTTTACGTACGATGTATGTATATAATATAATATATATGTACGCTTGTCTTGACACGGCTATAGCGAGATTCATTAACTTGACGCTGTAAGGAACTTACACGTCTACGTTCGCCGATTTGATGTGATCATTAGGATAAGAGGGATAGATTATGATAATTTCTATTCTTTGGTTTAGCTGAATTTGTATATATAATTACATATTTTACAAATTTTGGATTTTACAACAACAACAAAAATCGATATTTTTTATCAAAATATCGTAATATTCGTCTGGAACCTGGTTCAGAAAATGCTCTGGGTTTTTAGAGACCTTCAGTACACATCATAATTATTACCTGGCATGTCTACTGGAACCTACGGCTTCCGTAGGCTTTGTACCTTGTACTTTATATGGGATACGACCTTACCAACCATCAATCACTTTTATCTGTTTCTCATGTTGCTGCATTTTTCAAAGATCTCCTGAC